ACAAAACTCACCCAGATAAAACAGTTTCCTTGAAATCATGTGCTTATGATTCTCACTAACTGCTTGGCAGAGGTGACCGTGGTCTGAGGTAACACTGATGGTTATTCCAACTTATCTTTGCGAGGGGTTTGGGCCGTCTCCCCGCCCTGGTACGCAGCGCGCACTACGTTAACTTCTAGTTCTGGTTAGCAGACCAAATTATTAGGTTTTTTAGCCAAGCCGTTGTGGATTCCACGCTGGCTGGCCCTTGCCTTGCAGCTAAGGGAACATGGTGTGAGAGCAGACAGGACAATGGGAGGGTTGCTTGGAGATGCCCTCCTGGTGGGGGGAGAGGCAGGCTTACGTGTTAGATCGTGATTTCTTGCCCCCCGGCACCACTGACATTTTGAACAAGGTTATTTTGTATTTGGGGAGAGGGGACTGTCCTGTGCACTGTAGAATGTTTAGCAGCATCTCTGGTCTCGGCCCAATAGATGCCAGTCGCACCCTAATACCCCAGTCATGACAACTCATAATGTCACCAAACATTGCTAAATACCCCCTGGGCAGGGGTGGGGTGTTAAAAGTGTGGCATTCTTGCATTCTTGGCTTTTCTAGGGCGATCAGAGACGGACCAGCACCCAGCCTGGATATGCACTGAGTAGGGAAGGAGACAGGCATCCACTAATAGGATTACATGGGTATTAAAACACACACTGAATAAATCTGATGGCTATATTGGCTGTGTAACTATTCACTTTGAGGCATATCTGGATAACTTGCCTTTGTTAATGGTTAATTTAGCCGTTCTGTAATGATCTTGTACATCCATAAGCATGCTGGGTTGTTTCCCACTGTTTAAAAAAAAATATCTGTTATGTGTAAATCCTTATACATATCACCCCTACCTCTTTAGAAAAGAAATTCCACAAAAGGAGAGGAAATGTTGGAATAGGTAGAATATGTCAGCTGCCACACCAGGACTGCTGTGTGCTTTCCATTTCTTCTGCCCTGGCTTCTCCAAAGCCCAGAGCATGTCTGCAGGCTGGTCTAAGTCTTTCTCTTTACTCCTACGGGACAGAATTAAGACAACAGGAATAGTAAGAAGGAAGAAGGAATAGTAACAGAGAGAGGAGGTTCTCCATGGCAGAACCAAAGTGCCGCCCAGGGTCCCCGTGTCTCTCCCAGCCACTGCCGCTGTGTCTTGGGGTATGTGTTTCTGCATGCGTGCATGTGCGTGCTTGTCTCTTTGTGTGTCTGNTGTGTCTTGGGGTATGTGTTTCTGCATGCGTGCATGTGCGTGCTTGTCTCTTTGTGCGTGTTTGCTTGTGTGTGTATACGTGTGAGTACATGTGTGTGTGGTTTGGACTTTGGTCTGTTAGTCCCAGGCCGGCCTTCCAATCCCCTTTGCAACCTAGACCAGAAAAAGGGCAGTCAGGAGACCTACTTAACGGCTGCTGGGAAGATAGAGCTGCTTTGTGGAGCTCATTTCAAATGGGTGTTGTTTTGAATCTTCAAGTTCATTCAAATCCAATACGAAGCAAAATTCATAGATTGTGATGTCATGCAATTGAAACCAAAAAAGGGCTGTATTTCTGCCAGAATTTACTCTCGGCTTCAGGAAACTCCCCCACTCACCAGCCTCCTCCCCCCTCTCCCCTTCTTTGCTCTCTGAGCCAGGACTTCAGGGCTGTGCCCTACAAGCCTCATTTTCCTTCGCAGACCTTTCTTTTTCCAGCAGCCCTGTGCCTAAGGCGTGCCATTTGTGCTACTATTTCTTTGCACTTATATCACTACTTTATGTTCACATTAAAAAGGGAATAGAGCTTTCCAATTGTATAGGCTCCAATTTTGTCTGGGGCGGGGGAGTAACGAGAACTGTTAGCAACCAGGTTCACCTGTTTCTTGTCTTACAGCTGAGTTGAGGAGGCTTTCTCAGTCCACAGGGAAGTTCCCATTGCGCGGTGGCCCTCACAGTTGTGCAATCCCTATGACCTGACACAGACATCCCCCGACCTCGTGGCCGACTGGTCATGTCACCCTTTCCATCGCTGTGTGGTGGAACTGGATCTTAGTCAACCAGGGTTGTCATTGAGGATAACTTAAGGAAGGGCTATGTTTGAAGTATGTTTAAGAGAAGGGGTGCACTCCGGGCCTTAGGCAACTGTGTTGAAGGAAGGGGAAGGTTGAACCCCAAGGACACAGAAGGACAGAGAACTGGGGCATGTATGTGCCTCTCACCCTCTGTGTCCATGGAACTAGGAACACTGTGCGGGCACCCCAGCACTGTCGGTCCAGCCCAGCCCAGTGTCCTCACTCGGATCTGTGGTAGGAACTAGACTCATTGTCTCAGGGTTGCATTAGAGCTAGATCACATCTTTCTTCCTGTGCTGAGAGCTTTCTAGCCGAGAAAATCCAAATCGCCTCCTCCTGATGTAATTCCGGAATGGTACAAAAGTGTGTGTTAGTTCAAACTCTCAGCCATGGGGAGTGGAATATTAGTGATCCAATTGATGAATAAAGGGAGTGGCTTAGTGTTACCGGCTGGGACCTCGGTTCTTCTTGAGGGTGCAGAGAAGATTTTAAGGCCAATGAAAGTGAGAGTAAAGCAAAGTGGGATTTATTGAAAGTACACTCCAAGTGAGGAGTGGGCCAGTCCAGAGAGACAATGGCCCCGAACTCCTGGGTTATGAGGTTTAAATGAGGGATTTTCTGGGTGGAGACTTTCATTTGCACCCAGGGATGATTGACAGAAAAGGGTTATATAACTATATTTCTTCTGCACATGCCCTTACCCATAACGCACACAGAAAAACCCATGGGGTCGGGGGAGAAGGGGCGGGTCAAAACCCCAATGCAAATTTCATTGTAATTATAGTCCGAGGCCCTAGTAAGGTCGCCTTGAGGTCATGCTCTCTTCCTATGCTATGTGTCACGAGTTGTGCTGGGCCTGAGATCCTAAAATTACGTGATATCAGAGTTCTGTATAAGACGCAAGAGTCTTCCTGGCGGAAAGCATCCTCAAGCTGGGGAGTTTGAGGGGAGGATAATGAAGGGACCGTGTACAGAGCTGTGGGCAGGTGGCGAGCTTTGTTCAGAGAGAAGCTACAGAGAAATAATAGTAGCTGGACCAGGCCTGCTGGCAAAACCATGAAATTATTTATCTCTGAGTCAGCAGTTCAAAGGAGTTAATCTGCTGTTGGCCTTCCCATTGGTAAAACTGGCCGGTCAACGTGAGTGGACCCAGTTCACAATGGTCTTCCGATTAGTTTCTGGTTTTAACCTTTCCCTTGAACGACTTCAAAACTGTATGTTATGAAGGTAAAATCCTTTGAGATAAAGAAGTTTTACTATTTTGGTTTCTGTCTCTGAAAAAGGCCCAGATGTAATGAATTCACTGCCTTTCACTTTAGGCACGGTGGCTAGGAACTCTTCCTGAGTGCAACATGTGAGGCTGTTCGACGATTCTACAAGAATTCATCTTTTGTCTGGGTTAATGTTAGTTTAAAATAGTGTGTGTGGTTAAATCATGTTTTGAGATCTTGCTACTAGATTAAAAAAAAATCTGTAGTCAAAAACAAAATTAATTCGCTCAAATAATTGTTTTTAAAATAGATCGTATGCCATGAATTTCATACTGGCAACGCTGAGCTCTATGCCTCTGCTGGTTTGAGCCCAGAGACGGAGAAGGACCCTCCAGAAGAGCCCTAGCTGATTAGCTAAGCTGTACCCTAGCCAGGGACTGGGTCTGAGGCCCATGTGGCTGTCCTCATGACTCAGAGGGGGTGGGGACTGAAATCCTGTGGGCTGAAGCAGTCTGGCTGGGGGCAGACGCCTCATACTGCTGAGATAAGCAGTTCCTCTCCCACCAGCAATATTTGCTCCCTGGGGAGCAGGCCCCAGCTTCCTCTCCAGCACCGCCCCCTCCTCCCACCCGCTTCCTGCAGGGCAGGAGCTGAGCGGTCCCAGCTCTGCCCTGGAAGCAGCGCTGGGCCTTCGCCCGCAGCCTGAGCGTCCAGCCAGGCCCTGTCCCTGAAGGTTCCAGGGTCCCTAAAGTTATTGCCCAGGGACTGGGGGGCGGGGGTCACCCAGGTTCATTGCAGCTTATGAAGTTACACCTCCTTGTATTCTTGCAAGCAGGAATTAAAAGAGAAAAGTTAAATTAAAAAAAAAAGATTCCAGGCAGAATTACCCATCCTATTAAAAAGTTTCCAGCCAGCAAGGCCTCAGTCTTGCTTGAGGTCTGTGGCTGGGGTTTGTTAAAGAAATGGTTCTTGTCTTTTTGGTGGTGGTTGTTTTTTTTTTAATTATTAATTATTTAATTATTATTACAAACTCTGCTTAGCAACGACCCAGGAGGTGGCAGGCGATCAGAAATAAATGTGTAACTTGGATTTTGCAAAATTGGGTCCTGCTCCAAAGCACGCTCCCCGCCCACGAGGCCGGCTTGGGTTTCACAGGGGCGGCAGCTAGGCCTGGGGGGGAGACCTCGGGGTCCCTTCTGGGGCCGCGGGGGGATGTGCCGTGAGCGGGTCACCCCGTTAGACGGCTGCCAGCTGTCCTGCTTCCCTTTCTATTCC